TCAGTTCGACGAAGTCGCTGTTAGGATGACTGTGGAGTCCCTAGAGATCGAGTTCGACTAAGCCAAGTACGAAGAGTACTTGTCTTCTTCCTCCTCTGGTGGCGGGGCGTCCCGCAAATGCCACAGAGTCATGCGCAGAGGCCGACCTCAAATGGTCAAAGCCTCCACGCCCGAGGGCTCTACCCGAATCTCGTTAGGGGAACCTACCCCCTCAAAATCGATCAAAGCCAAGCCGGAGATCGAGAGCACAGGACGAGAGCCTGCCAGATGGGTCGCCAAGCGGCCCTCACAGACACCTGTCCTGGAAGAAACGTCGGTTCATTCTGGCACAAACCCTACTGCCACAGCCCACGCGGATGTTATTCTCTCTAAAAGAGCTCTCCAGCAACTTCGGTCAAACCGTCCAAGGGAAACAGACTCGACACGAGCATCGAGCGAAGCATCCTCTAGCTACCGAAAGTCCCCACACTAAACAAGGAGGGCCTTCCCTCTGCTTCTGTTGTAATTTCGATTTATTAGTTTGTAATTAGCCTTCTTATTAATACAAACGAAGTTCCCTATTTTCAGGAGATCAAAATTTACACCTACAATCTATGCATACTCTACTTCTATGGAAAGCTTGGACTCTGCATGGCTTGAAATCTGTATGTAGTCATTATGTTTAGAAGTGAAGCTCGGGCTTCCTTGTGCTGGCAAGTCTATTTGATGTTCGCTAGATAAAGTCTTAAACAAATTGAGTTGAACTTTTTTACTTAATTTGGAGGCTTAGTGAATTTTCCAAGTCATTTTAACCAGGTTTACTTACATAAGAAATAGTCAACTAGGTGAAACTCGGTAAGTCGATTTAGGTGAGGCTCAGTGAGTCAGTTTAGTTGAGGCTCAGCCTAAAAACATATAACTCAGGTCTTCATTTTGTTTGCCTAAGGTGGCGACGAAGTTCATTCGAAGCAAGATTCCTAGCGAAGTTTAAGGTTGGAATATCTGGCGAAGTTCGTAATGAAATCTTCAGTGGATTTCAATAGCGAGATCTTCAGTAGGGTTCAGTAGATAAATACCCGTCAAAGTTCAAGGAGAAGAATCTTTAATGAATTTCGGGGGTTTAGTCTATAAATAGACTATTTGTCTTTTTCTTCTCCACTTTGATTTCAAAAATTCTCCACTTTTTTGGAACCCTAGTTTTCTTAAAATCCCCAAAGTTCATCATCTATGGCTCCTTGTCGTGTTATCTCTAGGGGAATAGGCTTCACTCGAGGAGCTCATCGGCCAAGGGTTGAAGAGGCACCGACACAGTTAGAGGTGGCTGCGGGTAAGCTTTGAACCCATTAATGTCGAGCTTTGGCTCAACCTAAACATCAACCCATTGGGCTTTAAACAATACCTCAGGACATTTGGCAACTTGGTTCGCCATTAAAGGCGAGATTTACGACCACTTGTGGTCTCTCTGATGAACTTTTTGAAAGTACCCTAGATGGGGGTGAATAGGATATTTGCTAATCTAATCCGATTTTAATACCAAATTATGACTTATTAACTAATATATCCTAATAAAGTGTTATACAATTAGATATGTAAGGATATGCAATTAAACAATGGGCGATATAAACAAGAGTATAATATATGAACAATAAGAGCAACAAACGCAAACACAAAGAAAGTGATCACGGAGTTTGGTCGACCCACGACCTACGTCTCCACTCCTCACCCTCGAGGAGGATCTCCACTATCTCAAATAAATTAACTACACAATCGATGTTCCAAGTTCACCAAAAACTTTTACAACTCTCACAATTGCAATCAAACGACACACTTCTCTAAGTATTGGCCTAGCCTGTGTCACCTTCTTCAAATACTCGGAATTACAACCTCTCCCTAGGATTTACTACCGATACCATTCCTCATAGAATTGACCTCGTCTCACCAACCACTTCTCTAAGTGTCCTTGTGTATTACAATATGTTCTCAACAATTTAGCACAAGTAAAGATAATTTGTTCTCTAAACAAGATGAGAACTAAATTAATCCCACACTCTATTAATCACTCACCACAACCCAAATTATACTTAATATGAAATACTAAAATCTCAATAGGTTGTGTGTACAATCAATGAGTAAAATAAAATATAAACTCAATTTATAATCTAGCTAAATTAAAAATATGATAATTAATAATAACCATATATAAAGCTATGAATTGAGTTCAACAAAACTTCTCTACGAACAAGAGTGATGGAGATGTGAGATTGAAGCTCAAAAATAAATGAAATGATCTCCTCCTCTTTTGAAACTCTCTTCATATAAACACACTTAAAAACACACTTAAACACTTGCAAGCTTGTTTTAAACTTTTCTATGTTAATCACAAAAATTAAGACTGAGGGGGTATTTATAGAATAACAAAACCAAGCCCAAAAACCAAGAAAAAAAAACAAATCCCATAAAAAATAAAAATCCTAAAAATATGAAAACTAGTCGTTACTGTAGCCATCAGTCGACTGATGGCACTGTTCAGTCAACTGATAAGCTGCTTGTTTGTTGCTGCTCAAAGCTTGTCGGTCGACTGATGCACCATCAGTCAACTGATGAGCTGCTTCAGTCGACTATGCAAAAATATTTAGCAAGCCACTTTCATTAGTCGATTGATGACATTATCAGTCGACTGATAACATGCACATGAACAATTTAGAATAGTAAAATTGATTTTCATAGTACTTTTAAAAATAGTAAATAAATTCCAAAAATTATAAAATTTAGGAAAATGTTTATAAACATGAAAATAAACATGTTACAAAAGAAAATTTTTAAATATCATTTTTCATTTGTGAAAACTCATTATTTTACAAAATCTCAAAAATACGTATTCGTTTAAACACTTAATTATGACAAAACTCATCATTTTGATTTAAACTAAGTTTTGAAAACTTTTGAATGAATTTATAGACTTAGAAAAAGATGTGAACTAGGATTATTAAGTCCATAAACCAAGAATACATTATTTTCTCAAAAATGCATATAGTTTGATAAAAAATGAGAAATATGTGTGTGTATAAAATTAGGCTTAAAATATTATCACACAAAATATAACTCCTAAACTAATATACCCAAGTTAATGATCTCTTGTTGAAGCTCGATCTTGGTAGCGGGAATGAAACTTGATGATGTGTTGACTTGAATGTATAGCTTCATTCCTATATCCTCTATCCTCCAAGATATCGTCGTTTGCGCTCAATTGCATCCAACCTCTGGCAGAGGATCTTTGTGTAGAATATCTAACAAACAAATAAACACTCGACAAATATTATTAGGAATTGTTTGTTAATCATCAAAACTAGATTAGATAGTAGGCTCATAAACATGAGACCTAACAATCTCCCCCTTTTTTATGATAACAAACAATCTACACAAAGAGATATAAGATATGCATGATATCAAATGAATATACAATTAATAACTCATGCATAAAAATAAAATACTCACAATCTACTTGTTTCACCCCCTTAGTCAACATCAAAATGGTGAAAAACAATAAGAATTAAGAGAACGAAAGCTCTCCTAACAAATAAGCATAGGTGAGTATAAATAAGAAAATGAGATAGGGAAGGATCCTCCTATCAAAAAGCTTAAAAGCATATATTTAGAAAAAACAAGGCGGTTATATGTGAGCAAAACATGCAATATATATGTAAGTATATACGTATTTAACACTATCACCATATATATTATATATATATATATATAGTATATATATATTATATAAGGTGCTAATCTCAATCACATACAAATAAGACAAGCGAAACACACACAGCACACAGCACGGCACAACACACACACACACACCGGCACACGACACACACACCACACACACACACACATATATATATTAATATATATATATACTATATATATATATATATATATAATATATATATATATATTATGATAAATATGGGTATGCTTGGTACCAAGCACAAATTTTATGTTTGGTAGTAAGGTGACACAAGCCCCGTGCCACTGCATTTAAATGGGGGGAGCCATATTCAGCATAGGTGAGGAGTGCATGGAGATAGTTTTTGTTTCTGCAACGCATTAGAATGAGTGGAGAGGATTATGCCCACCTCAGCTATCCAAGCAAAAAGTTTTGTGAGGCTTGGTACCTAAAGCATACCCATTTCTCTCTCCTCCTCTTGCTCTGTATCTTATATATATATATATATATTATATATATTATATATATATATATATATATATATTATATAAATATACTGTAAAAATTTATGTCACTTAAGTGATAGGATAGAATCATCCACCAACTTTTTTAAAACCGTTGATATTACATTGGGATCCGTGATAGATATGAAGAACTCTTTAAAATTTTTAGGCAATCTTTTGATTGACACAAATTCTTGAAGCAAGATGAGTGGATAAAAAGTTTGGTGGACAAAAAGCCTCCTATCCACTTAAGTGGATAGAGTTATTACTATAATAAGTATGGTATATATATATATATTATATATATATATACTATATATATATATATAATATATATATAATATAAGTATATATATATAGTATATATAGTATAATGAGAAAATTATTGGGTATGCTTGTGTACCAAGCAAAAAATTTTATGCTTGATGAGGATGTGTCACAATCCTCACCACGTCACTATCCTATTGAGGAATTTGTTCACCATATTTGAATAAATAGAGGGAGATTTGACACGTCCAGCTACCAAACATAACTTTTTTGCTTAGGAACAAGCATACCCATATTTCCTCTCTCTCTCGTGCGTATATATAATATATATATATATGATATATATATTTAAATCATTATATAAGAGGAAAAAATGTTACAGAGGTCTTAATCATAAATATATCAATAAGATATATATCAAAAATAAAAAATGTTCCAAAAATCAACCTCTCTTCTCCACCCGCATAAAAATTCTACAATAAATAAGCATATCTTAGAAATAAAGTCCATCTACTGCTACAATTTTCTTTTCTCTCCATTACAGTGGCCAATCAGAATCCAAGATCTCCTCCACAAGCCTTTAGCTACTTGAGAGTCTTAGGGGACAAATAATACATTTTGGCCCATGCAAAAACGCCTTGCCTCCTTTACCTCTTCCGTACATCATTGGTTCTATAATAAAGCAGAAAAGCGCAACAATCTTCGCAACAAATTGAGCGTTGGCCCCTTCTGGTGGTGAATTTGTCCTAACAAAGGGGAGCCCCTTCATCATTCAAAAGTTTCGTTCTTGCTCTTTATAAGGGCCAGCCCTAAAACCCTACCCTAATGCAGGGCATACACACACCCATGTCTTCATTCTCCCACTCCCATTGCCGGAAAAACTCCGGCGAGCTGGACGTATTTGAGGCGACCCGATATTTCTCCAGTGTTGCCGACATCCCCGAAACCTGCCGAGCCATAAAGACAGAGAGGACTAGGAGCCTTGTTGAAGCCAAGCTACCACAAGAAGCACAACAAAGGACGGAGCTCAAGCATGCACACATGACCAAAGAGAAGGTCGTCAAGTGTAAGCAACCAAGCTCCCCTGGAGCCAAGCTTGCTACCTTCCTCAACTCCTTCCAACAATACTACTCTAGTTCAAAGAAAAAGAAGCCATCAAGGTTGATTAAGGGTGAAGATGAATATAGTAGTAGGAGAAGGAAGAGTAGTTGTAAAATTAGTAATGTCGAGTCTAAATCTTCTAACTATTCTTCTACTTCTAGTTCATTCAGCTCAAAGAAGAGAGAGGGGTTAATTAAGGATAATGATTGTGAGGCTTTGGGCGATGAGTTTAGATTAAAGTTGAGGCTTGGAGATGAGCACAGCATAAGAAAGGAAGAGGAGGAGATGAGTGATGGAGGAGAGAGTGATTCAAGCTCTGATCTGTTTGAGCTCAAGATTAACTATGAGTTTAATGAGATTAGTTCAAGTGGACTGCCTGTTTATGAGACTACTCATTTGGGGGTTATTAGAAGAGGAGCTGGGTTAGCTAGTACTATCGCGTACCGCACTAGTTAATTAAGATTTTTCATTTGCACTCTTCGTGTAAAGTATATTTTTATGTGTTGTCCTATCTTTAATTTCCTTCATATATTAGTTGTTGGTAAGGTGATATTTTCTTAATTTGCATGTTAGAATTGATGACACATTAATAATGCCAAGGCGTTCATGTTACTTGTTTTATCTGATGAATAATAAGGAGAAAAACTATTCTATATATGCTTAGAGAAATGTCTTGGAGTTATGGCTTCCTCATTAATAAAAGTATTAATTAATTACATTTTGTACCTTGAAGTATGGTGTATTTACATAGGTAATCCTAAAGTCGGCATATAGACAAGATAACCTTGAGACTGCTGATTCTAATTACATGGATGACCCTTGAATCTGATGATAAGTTAGTACTATTTGTTTTTTATTTTTATTAATTTGTAGTTCTTTTTGGATGTTAGCTAGGATTAGAGTTATGTTATGACTTGGATTAAAGTTATGGCTAAGATTATATAAGAAGTTACTGACTATTGGAGTTTGGGTTAGAGTTGTAAAAAAATATAACTTTAATGTGTAATCATTGCTATAACCCTAATCCTGATCCCACTTCTACTACTCCTAACCTTAACCAAAACCATATCCTAGACCTAATGCTAATTCACATCCAATAAGAACTTCAAATCAGAAGAAAATAGTGTTAACTTGCCTACAGATTATAGGGCCACATGTGTAATTACATAAAAATCTCAGGATTACTCATGTAGATATGAAGACTTTAGGGTCACCCATATAATTATGTACCATACCTCCGCAAAATATAATTAGTGTATCTGAACAAAGCTTTCGATGGAGGGAGATTCTAAAGTGATTACTCACACGATAATAGGAGGTGTCGACCTTAACACTAATATGATCATGTTCAAGAACGGGGGTGCTATGCTGAAATCTATATGATTATAGAGAAGCAATAGAGTTCCTAATTTTGAGCAAAGGTTGCTAGTTAGTACACAACAAAGGTCTTTTTTCTTAGTAGATGAGATGCCACAAGAGATTCATGAGACCATTCTATATTGTTAGAATTGTATCTTTGATTTTTGGTATGGGTTTATGTAGTTGGTTAGGGTTAGATGTCTATCATGATTAGGAGATGAAGTTTCATTATGACAAGGAGTTTGTGTCTTATCCAAAGTAGGAAGTTAGGCTAGGAAGAGGATTTTGATTTCTATATATATTGCCTTATATTGTTGTGGGTAAACCAAGAAGAAGAGATACATATGAGAATGGCTTTTGAGAGAATATGAGATGATGAGTGCGTATATGAGGTTGAGAGATTGAGAGATGAATGATTCCTCTTATAAGATTCTCCCTCTATATAGTGGATTTCTCGTACAGTTCCTTGTTGATTAATGTCAAACTTAATGGACAGAAACATGTAAATCTTGGTGTTTTTCTTCTTTATGGGGAATAACATCCACAACAAATATGACATCAGAGGTACCAAGTTTTTAAATAGAGAAGCTATTTCTATTATCGTTAACCGAAAAAAAATTCCACAAAGAGCAAGTGAGAAAAGAAAAATGAGCACATCAAAATGATTAATTAGAGAGTACTGGAAAATCGAGATGTCAAGAAAAGTTGTGAGCCACATACTATATTCACTTAGGTTGCAAAGGAATATGTATTTACATTCATTAGATATAATTATTAAAATATCTATATCTGATAGGATACAATTACGAATACAGATATGTAGTAAAATATCTATATCCATATTTGAAATATCAGAATATATGTTTTGCAATTGTTTTAATGCTTAGATTAATGAGTTTGAGATTAATTTTAAAGATCAAGAGATCTAATCTTAGCTTCAGATATAGTGAACATATTAATGAACTCTCGAGTACGTATCATATGAACTATATTTTTTTCAATATTATCTAGTTTTCTCATATCCGTTTTGTATCTGCAGGTATATCCGTACGTACATCCATATATATATCTATATATGTATCCAATTTTAATGGATATGAATATGAGTTTCCTTATCGATTGATATCTATATCTATATACATACCTATAATTAGTAAGCCAATACAAATATGATAGGTATCATATCTTAGCTGTATCGGAACCATTTGCACGCCTGCTATCCACTCGTTCTTATAACCTATTTGAGGTGCATATCCCCTATGGACCCATGAAAGCATGTATGATGGAATTAATATCACATCATCTCTTCCCACAGCGCTTTACCACTGCCCATCAAATAGCCAAAGCCAAATTAGAAGCCGACACCTCAAATTCATCAAAGTGGAACCACATTGTTCATATCACAAATGTTGTTGACTAGGATTATGGTTTGTTCTTATGGAGGCCTGAATGATTTCTTACATTTGGAATTCTTGATTGTTTCCTCCAATCTCTCCATGACATTGGTCAAGGGTGGATAAAAGGATTTTGCCTCGCATCACAATTAATGGCTTGGGGGAGTTCTCTTATCCATCAGCATAGTTCTTATATACCGATTGATGCTCGCGTAAAAGATAAAGATGGATGAACTCTTTTACATGACATTATTTTGGGTTAGTGTTTTCGTTGAAATATTCAATGCTTTTCACAGCACACCCAGCAAGCAATCTTGCACCAATTCTTGTGTACGTCCTAGCAATCTGTATTCTGTATCGTCAGAACTGAAGCATTCATTTCTAGTTATATATAGCAACACCTTTAGCGAGAGATAAATCCCTCTGTTATCGGAGCTCTAGTATGAGTTCTAGCCATAAGAGGACACTATGAGATAAGGTTCAACATAAGAATATAGAATCATATTTGTTATTCATAATAATAATCTTATATCCAACAATTTTAGTCCACAAGGTCGGATGCTTAAATCATTATACAAACCAAACAATTTTCTTTTCTTTTCTTTTTTCAGTGAACTATGAGTTGATACTGTTCTTGTGCAAGTTAGTATTTTACCTTCTAATGTTAACACAAGAAGTATTCGAAGAGGGGCGTGACAAGCTCAATATAAAATAAAAATGGTTTTTCTTCACAATGAAAAGTGATGATCCACTTCCTAACTGACATGAATCATACTCTTCAGGTTTGCATAAGTTGAATTGAAAACCTAACCTTTATTATGAGATCTCTTGGGCTTATATAGGCCCCTACACAACTTACAAATAAGTCCTTATATTTTACTAATATGTCAATACTCCTCCTCAAGATGGGCGAAAGATATCCACTAAGCCCATCTTGTCACTAATCATATCTAATGAGCTAAGTCCTTTAGTCAGACAATCTGCTGCTTGGTCCTTAGTTGAAACATGACTTAGCTCCAGTATTCCACTATCCAACTTCTCTTTGATGAAGAACCTATCGATCTCGATGTGTTTGGTTCTATCATGCTGCACTGAGTTGTTGACGATACTGATAGCTGACTTGTTATCACACCACAACTTTATCTTAGCTCCTTGATCCAGCTCCAGTTCAACCAGCATACTCTTCAACTATAGTAACTCAGCAACTCCTAAGGCCATAGCTCTATACTCTGCCTCAGCTGTTGATCTCGCCACCACTGACTGCTTCTTGCTCTTCCACGAGACTAAGTTGCCTCCTATAAAGATGCAGTATCCCGAGGTGGACCTCCCGTCATCAGCACTGCTAGCCCAATCAGAGTCGCAATAACCCTCGATGCTTACATGTCCACTCTTCTTGAATATCAGCCCCTTTCCGGGAGCACTCTTCAAATATCTCAGAATCTGGTACACAGCGTCCATATGACCCTTCCTCGGATCATTCATGTAGCGGCTCACCATGCTCACTACAAAGGAAATATCGGGACGTATGTGACTCAGATAGATCAACCTGCCCATCAGCCTTTGGTATCTGTCACGATCAACTGGTTCTCCAGCTTCAGCATCCAGCTTGAACTTCTGGTCGATCAGTGTAGTTGCAGGTTTACACCCTAACATCCATGTCTCTTTGAGAAGATCCAGTGCATAATTTCTCTGGGATAGGACAATCCCCTCCGCTCCTCGAGCTATTTCTATTCCAAGAAAGTATCGAAGCAAGCCAAGATCTTTCACCTCGAATTCCTTACCCAGTCTCACTTTGAGTTTGACAATCTCCATCTCATCATCCCCTGTAATAATCATATCATCCACATATACCGCAAGCATGGTGATGTGACCTTCATTCCGTCGAAAGAACACGGTATGATCGGCGTTGATCTGCCGGTATCCCATACCTATTATAGCCCGCCTAAACCTGTCGAACCAAGCACGAGGAGATTGCTTCAGGCCATATAGAGACTTCTTCAATCTGCAGACCTTCCCTACTGTCTGTTCTGTGCCGAATCCTGGCGGAATTTCCATGTATACCTCTTCCACCAGATCTCCATGAAGAAATGCATTCTTCACATCTAATTGGTGTAGCTTCCATCCACCATTTACTGCCAGAGAGATCAAGGTCCGAACAATGCTCATCTTTGCTACTAGTGCAAAAGTCTCATCATAGTCGATGCTATATGTCTGACTATATCCTTTTGCCACCAGACGAGCTTTATAGCGCTCAACCTGTCCATCTGGATTTCTGCTTCACAGTGAAGACCCACTTGCATCCAACTGCTCTCTTCCCTTTTGGTAGTTTTACTAACTCCTTCACAGTGAAGACCCACTTGCATCCAACTGCTCTCTTCCCTTTTGGTAGTTTTACTAACTCCCAAGTACGGTTCTTCTCAAGGGCCCTGCTCTCTTCCCTTTTGGTAGTTTTACTAACTCCCAAGTACGGTTCTTCTCAAGGGCCCCTAGCTCTTCGAGCATAGCAGCTTTCCATTTCTGATCCTTCTTTGCAACCTGCCAATTGTTAGGTATAGTAACAGAGTTCAGTGATGCAATGAATGCTCCATGTGCAGGGTGGATGTTATAATATGATATAAACTGGGCAAGATCCTAACCATATCTATCGGGAGGATTTCCCGCATTACTGCGAGTAGTCCTCCATACAGATATTGGTGTGGGAGAAGTAGGAAGAAGAATTGTATCACCTTGAGAGGAATCTGGTGGTGATGTAGGTGTCTCAGGAGTCGGGGTAGGTGTTGGTAAGGGACTTGGCACCAGTGGCACTGTAGGTACTGTTCCCACAATTTGTTTCCCCTTCCTACTATAGGTAAGTAGTTCTCCCTGAGCCGTGGGCCTAACACCTCTTATCTCATTCTCCTCTTCTTCTTCATTCTCCTGCTCCTCCTCAACCAAGTCTCCTTCCCAAGTTACAGAAATTGATTTTTCTGATCTCTCACCATTCCCTGATCTCTCACCATTCTCAAACATTAATTTCTCCACATTCACCAATCTCTCACCATTCTCCTCCTCTCGCCTCATACTTCTAGTATTAGGCGAGTTACCAACGGATGAAGTTACCTTCCGGGTGTAATATGTCTCGAGTTCTCGAAAGTGCACATCCATACTCACAAACAACCTTTTTTTCCACCGGGCTCCAGCAAACATATTTCTTCTGAATAGCAGAATATCCCACAAAGATGCATTTCACCGCTCTAGGGGCAAACTTCCCGACGGATGGCCTGTTGTCCTTCACAAAGCACACACAGCCAAACACCTTGAGTGGAAGAAGCCCACCATTATCTCCCTTCAACGACTCACACGGAGACTTCCAATCCAGCACTCTCGAGGGCATTCTGTTGATTAGTGCTGCTTCGGTCAACACTGCTTCCCCCATAATATTTCTAGAACATTCATGGAGATCATCATACTTCTAGCAACCTCTAAAAGATGTCTATTCTTTCTTTCCGCTACTCCATTTTGAGCTGGTGTGTATGGAAACGTAGTCTGGTGTTGTATTCCCTAAGCTGACAAGTATTCCCCAAACGCTTTGTTAGTATACTCCGTCCCATTATCAGATCTCAATACCTTCACCACAGCGCTGTATTGAGTTTGAGCATACCTATGAATGTTTTGAAAGCAACCAAACACTTCACTCTTATTTTTCATCAGATACAACCAAGTAACGCGGGAGAAACAAGTAATAAAGGTAACAAAATACTTGTATCCATTCATAGAACTTGTAGAACAAGGCCCCCAAACATCTGAATGTATTAGGTCGAATGCACGAGAACTCCTATGACCAAAACTTACATAAGAACTTCTAGTAAGCTTTCCAAACTCACATGCATCACATACAAGGTTTTGCTTATTTCCTTTCTCAAATAGAGATGGATACAACCTACTTAAAACACTAAAGGACGAGTGTCCCAAACGCTGGTGATGAAGCATCAACACACTCTCAGCACTCATCTCAGATCCTACTTTTGCTCTCTCTATCATTGATACCAATGCTGAATCCAGCCCTTCACGATCAAGATACCACAGTCCACTACGCCATGTGCCAGTCCCAAGTCTCCGTCCTGTCCCCTTCTCCTGGAAGATCACCTTAGGAATATCAAAAGAAATAATATATTTTAGTTGGAGGATGATAGCACTAATGGATAAAAGATTGACTGGAAAGGAAGGAGCATGCAAAACATTGAACAAAGTTACAGAACCTGTATAATCGACTGTACCCTTACCAACCACTGGCTAAAATGTACCATCAGCTATTTGAATACTATAAGGCGATGCTAGGTGAGTATATGATGAGAACTCACTAGCATTACCTGTCACATGTCGAGACGCACCGGAGTCGATTATCCATTCTGATGATCTATCGGGAGACATAGAAGCAAGAGCATATATGTCATCAGTACCTTTGGTCGGATGAGCATAGGTAGCAGTGTTTCCTCTGGCAAAGAATGATGTGGATGCCTCCTCTGTCCCACTCCTCCTATCTCCATCTCCTGCTACTTTCTGCTTCCTCCTGAGTATCGCCAAGAGCGTCTGATCCTCCTCAGTAAAGATCACCTCAGCTTCTCCTCCTCCTTCTGCTACCATCATATTCGCCCGGTTGCCTACTCCCCTTCCACCTCGTCGACCCCCACGGCCACGACCACGCCCTCCGAACTATCCATGTCCACCCGAAT